CCAAAAATACCCCCCCAAATGCTCACAGAGGGATTTTGGGCGAAGAATGAAAGATACCCCCCAAAAAATACCCCCCCGAAATGCTCACAAATGGTCAAAACCTAGCCCCCGGACTATCTTTGGACTGTTTTTGCAGATTCTCCCAAAAATACCCCCAAAAAATACCCCCCAGAAAATGCTCACAAATGGTCCAAACATAGCCCCCAGACTATTTTTGGACTGTTTGGGGATATTCCCCCTGCAAAGGCACGGGCCCGACTGAAAGGTTTGGCCCGGGATGCTGCGCCCGGCATGGCAGAGCGAGCGAACGAACTCCGCCGTCGCGCGGAGGCCCGCCGGCCCTGCAAGGGGGGCAGGCGCGCCCGCAGCACGCAGGCCTTCTGCGAAGGCCACCGGAAGCGGAGTCGGAGCATGGAAGCCCCACTCGACGAGTGCGGTCAGCGCCACGCGAGCCGAGTCGAGTGCTGCTCGCTCTCCTACCACGCTGGCTGGCTCGATGCCCATCCCGGATGTCTTGCGTGCGATGCCAGCTCAGCTTCCCATCTGCTGCGCCGCCTTGCCCGGGCACGGCAGAGATGCTGCCAAACAGCAGCGTGGCGAACCTTTGCCAGACCAGCCCAGCGCACGGGGCGGCGACGAGGCGACAACGTGGCGAAATCTCGTCAGACCCACCCAACGCACGAGGCGGCAACGAGGCAGCCACGGGCGGCAACGTGGAATATCATCGCCAGACCCAATCAATTCCTTAGAGTAAGAACCCCTAAGTGCAAGCACTGCTGGCTCAGACGTGCGTGCTGGCTCAGACGGATCAGACATGCTGCTCAGACGTGGCCGGCACCCTTCAAAGACCCGTACATATCTTCAAATCCACCGACCATTCGGCGTGTGTGAGACGCTTTTCCGTTTGAGTCATCGTCGTCCTCGTCCTCGTCCTTGTCCTCGTCCTCGTCGTCGTCGTCGTCGTCGTCGTCGTCGTCGTCGTCGTCGTCGTCGTCGTCGTCGCCGTCGTCGTCGTCGTCGTCGTCGTCGTCGTCGTCGCCATCAGTTCCAAGGGATTTGGGGAACAAGGCAAAGGAACGTCGTAGTCCGCCGACCCCTTGTGGGTCTCTAGGCGTGTGAGATAGTTCCCCCCCCCATAATCCCCCCCCGGGGACCCCAAACCGGAGATTTGACCCCCCCCCCCGGGCCCAGCACGAGCGCGTCACGGGGCTCTTTTGGGCCCAAAAGGGGATCAAGACGGGCCCAGAAGGCTCCAAGAGGCCTCCAAGACGGCCCACGAGGGCCCCGAGACGCCAAACGAGCGCTCCCAGACGCCCAAGATGGCCCCAAGACGAGCCTAGAGGCCTCCAAGACGGCCCAAGAGGCCCCCACGAGGCCCCAAGAGGCCTCCAAGATGCGCCCCAAGAGGGTCCCTAGACGCACAAATTGGCCGATTCCCTTCGTAAAACGTATAATTTTCACACATTCGTTTCCTGGGCTTTCCGACGCTCCAAGACGGCCCAAGAGGCCCCGAAGACCGCCCCAAGACGGCCCAAGAAACCTCCAAGAGGGTCCCAAGATAGCCCAAGAGGGCCCCAAGACGGCCCAACAAGCGTCCAAGACGGCCCAACAGGGCCTCGAAAAGAGCCCCAAGAGCGCTCCAGGAGCGCCCCAAGTGGCCTGCAAGAGAGCTCAATATGGTCCCAGACAGCCCAAGAGCGATCAAAGACACCGAAGATGGCCTCCTGACGGCCCAAGATGCCCCCAAGAGGCCCCAAGAGGCATCCAAGATGCGTCCCAAGAGGGCCCTTAGACGCAAAAATTAGCCCGTTCCCTTCGTAAAGCGTGCGTTTTTTTCACAAATTCGCTTTTTGGGCTTTCCGACGCTCCCAGACGGCCCAAGACGCCCCCGAAGACCGCCCCAAGGCGGCCCAAGAAGCCTCCAAGAGGGCCCCAAGACAGCCCAAGAAGGCGCTAAGACGGCTCAAGAGGCGCCGAAGACGGCCCAAGAGAGCCCCGAAGACGGCCCCAAGAGCGCTCCAAGTGGCTTCCAAGAGAGCTCAACATGGTCCCACACGGTCCAAGAGCGATCGAAGACACCCGAAATGGCCTCCAGATGGCCCAACACGCCCCTGAGAGGCCCCCAAGATGCGTCCCAAGACGGTCCCTGGACGCAGAAATGTACTTATTCCCGTCGTGAAACGTACAATGTTCACACATCCGCCTTCTGGGCTTTCCGACGCTCCTAGACGGCCCAAGAGGCCCCGAAAACCGCCCCAAGACGGCCCAAGAGGCCCCCAAGACGGCCCCGCGACGGTCCAATATGGCCCCAAGACGGCCCAAGAGGTCCCCAAAACGGCCCAAGAAGGCTCCAAGACGGCACCAAGAGGGGCCCAAGAGGGCAACCAACAATTCAAAAATCTAGCTGTCCGCCCCCACGAGCCCCAGGGGGCCCCAAGAGTGCCCCAACAGGCCGCCAACGGCCCTCAAGAAACCGCCAAGACGCCCCAAGGAGCCCACAAGAGGCCCCCAGGAGGCCCCCAAAAGACCCCCAGACGCTTCCGCATTGCGAGCCGTCACGCCAACTGCAATGCACTCCGCGCGTACAACCTTACTCTTCCTCGCGACGTGTTCACTATCTTGCTCGGCGCTAATGTGCTGCTGCCGCGCGAACTGTTTCGTGCGCGCTGCGAACGTCAACAGCCTCTTCACCCGTTCCGATTCATTGCCACATATTTCGCTGTGATGCTTCGCTGATCACAGCTTCCACACACTACTCTTGCTCCTTTCGTCTTCCCGTGCTCCTCCACTTGGTTGCGGGTCGAAAGGCCGACCTCCCAGATGGACACCCCGCGCCCGGGTGCACAGCACGCAAAGCGCTTGCAAAACACGCCCCAGACCACCGGCATCACGCAAACATTTGGGCCCCCTACGTATCTGCCACCACCCGCGCGCGACACCGCACCCTCACACAAGACGCCGCTGGCCAGAAACTCCTGGCCTCGCAACACTCACAGAAGGGGTCGGCGGATGTGGCGTAAGCCTGTAGAGTCAAGTCGATTCCCTTCCCTTTATCCCTTCCCTGCCGGGTGGGGGGGGACGAGGGTGGAAGGGGGCGGTGCCGGGTCAAGGGTCCTGGCGGGTCCCAGGGGGGCAAGGGGGGGGTCGTGGTCCTGGCTGGCCCCGGGTCTGAATACCGCCCCCCCCCGCGGGGTACCGCCAGGCCCAGGGAGGGTGGGTGGCGGTGGTCCCGGGTCAGAATGCGGCCCCCCCAGGGCCCTGGCGTGTCCCAGGGGGGTCACCAGCGGGGGTCTCGGGGCAGGTCCCACCTTCAGGGTCGGCGGCACCGGCCCTAAGGCCTTCGCAATATTGTCGATCCACTACGTGCCTTCCAAATGAAAGCGTCGAACTCATTGCCCCTCAACGGCCGCACACTGTGAACAACTTCTTCGCACCCCCACGTTTGCACAGATCCCCAGCGGTACCCCCTCCCCTGGGCGCCCTCTCCCGCATCCGAGGCCATGACAGTGGCTTGCAGTGTGCGCTTGTCCGATCGAGGCGCTTGCCTGCTACCTCGCATGCAACATCTGAGTAACAAGACCACCCCCCTCGAGCCTGCAGGCACTGGGCCACCAGAGAGCCTGGCCCCACAACCGGGCCCCTGGGGGAGGACCTGCGCAGCAGGGCAGACCCATCCGAGACTCCATGCCTGACTGGCGCACCACGGAGCCTCGACTCCTCCGGGCGGCCACTCCGCGCGGGAAAATCCCCCCCTTCACGCATGGTGCCACCTTCCAGGTTCCGCCGTGCGTTCCGGAAAGTTCCTGGAGCGGCTTGAAAAACGCAGCGTGACGCGCCAAGGGTTTCCATGGAGAGCCTCGGCCGTCACAGCGCTAGAGAACACTTTGGCGCTTATCGATCCTGCGCCTCCCTGGCATTCTAGATTCATCTGTGGGGCTTCCAGATTCACCTGTGGGGCTTCCAGGCCCCCGAGCAACCCTTCGAAGAAACGAAGCCCCACCCGGGTCCAGCACAACCATTCCAAGCGCAGCGCCCGTCTAGAAGACGGCTTGGACGCGACGTCTCCTCAGAAGTATTCCCCGATCCAGGCTGCCTGATCCTGGCCCGGCAAGCCTGATGATCGATGACCCATCCCTGAGCGCGGGGATCTCATAAATGGAGCATCCGGCTGACTGTCCCGATTGCGCTCGGTCGGCGGATCATCTCAGCGACATGCTCTGGCCCTCATCGACGGACTTAGGCTCTCAGGGTAAATGATGTTCCCTCTCCGAAGCCATGGATGCGCGCGTGCAGACGCAACCGCCCGCCGCCCCCGACACGGTGGCACCGAATCAGGGGACTGGCATTAAGTCGGGCCTGTCCCCCTACAGGGGGATTTTCGACGAAAAATAAAAAGTACCCCACAAATAATCAAAAAATGATCCAAAAATAGTCTGGGGACTATTTTTTGAATATGTTTTCACCTTTATGGGGTACTTTTGGGTATGCTTTATTTTTCGTCGGAAATCCCCCTGTAGGGGGACACGCCCGACTTAAGACTGGCACCTCCGCCCCAAGAGTGTCGACTCGTGCGCACCGGCGCGGCCACGGCGGCTCGGAGCTGCGGAGGCGGAGGAAGGAGCTCGCTACGGTAATGCCGGGCGTGTCCCCCTACAGGGGGATTTTCGACGAAAAATAAAGAATACCCCAAAAATACCCTTAACAGGCAAAACATACTCAAAAAATGTCCCCAGACTATTCTTGGACCATTTTTTGATTATTTTGGGGGGATTTTCATTTTTCGTCGAAAATGCCCCTGTAGGGGGACAGGCCCGACATAACACCACAGGGCAGTCGTGAGACATCCCCTTCGATTCCGCAGATCGGCAAGGTGCCAGATACTGGAACCTCCCCACATACTACAAGGCTCCCAAACTGCCGGCAGGAGAACTTTGGCCGGGCCGCCCGGGCCAGGTTCCTGCCGCATGCTCCACTCCCAGCTCTCGTCGGCGCGCTGCCGTCTGTCCTGGGGAGGCACTAACGGACGAGCACATGAGTTTGCAAAGATATAACGTGATCGCGCGTGTGGCGAAAAACTCGGCTTCTAGATTTACAAGACTTTCTCACAAACAAATGGTTTCCGTCGCTGCTGCAGATGAAGGATTCCGCAGGTTCCGGATCAAAATCAAGTACGTGTCTTCATGAGCCTAGCTAGCATCACATATGCTGTTATCGCATGGTGCTTGCCCCCAGCACACACACACACACACCGACACATACCAGCCCAAGTCTCTGCCAATCTCCTCAAGGTTTCCTGGGGCTCTGCGGTGTCCGCGCAGTTTATACTTTGTCCACGGAGCCAGTGTCAGATAATGTTATCGCCTGGGGCTTATTCACGAAAGGTCAGGGTTCGCCGAGGCTTCCGTTGGCTTTTTGACGGGTTCCACGTAGGTCCAGGGTCTGGGGGGTCATGTGTTCATTCATACTCGACCAGAGAAGGGCAGCGAATATTGACAGGCTCCCAGAGAATCCCAGAGACGACCCAAAAGGGCCTCACGACAGCCCCAAGCGAGAGGCCCGCGGTGTCTCCCGCCCAATACGGCGGACCCCCGAGGCGGCCCCGAGAAGCCCCAGGCGGCCCAAAGAGAGCCGCAGAAGACCCCGAGACGGCCACTGCACAGGCCCAAAGGTCTGGCCACCCGCGTGTCGAGGCCATACCCGCACTTACCAAATGGTTCGGAGACTTGCGTGCTGGCATTCCCGCGGGCACCCGCCGGGACTCGCAGCCTGCGGGCAGAACGAACACCCTACACAGATTGCGCGCACTCGTAGAATCTAAAACTTTCCTGTGCTCAGCACCCATGCGATGCTGTGCGTCGTCAGGCGGCCTCGTTTCGGAACTCCGGCGTACACTCATCTTACCGTACGAGCTCACGAAGCACGTAGCAGGTAGCACGTACAGATTTTTTGTTTCGCGTCTGCTCTACATGGCCTTCCGCAGCCTTCGGATCACGGAGCGAGCACCTGGATCACGGAGCGAGCACCTGGAGCGTTCCGAGGCAGCGATTTTCCCCGCGCGCTGGAAGCATATGATCCAGGTGCATGTAGCACGTACAGATGCGCACGTATGAGCAGCAGCGCGATGCAACCCACCTCACTGCCATGAGACGTGCTTGAGCCCGCCAGGGCACAGCGCACAACAACACGACCCGCCGCACGGTACCACAGGACGCCGCGGTGCTGCGCACTGAGCCGGCAGAGCGGCAGCGGCATCGCACTGCGCACCGTACCCTCTCTGGTGGTGCGCAGCCCCCAGGCTGTGCTGCCGCACTCATCCCAGCTGCACTGCAAGCAGCGGTGGTGGCACGGCTACACGTCGGGCGGAAGAAGTAGGCAGAAGCATGAAGCAGGAAGGCGGACAAAGTGGATTGGGTCCAGGCCCTCCCAGAGAAGAACAAATCACAGCAAAAACATGCCGATCATTGAAGTAGGAAGGCGCTTGAAGTAGATTGGGATCTGGGAATTCAAAAATACCTACTTTCAACGACCGGCGTGTACTTATATTAGCACTGGCACATCTCGTGACATTACCTCGCGCAGCTCCGTAGCAGAAGCTGACTGCGGTCCGAGCAGAGTGCTGCGGCGCGCGTTCAACGGCAGGACAGGCTTGACGGGGAAAGGCCGCGTCAGAAAGCAGGAGGAAGAGGAGAAGGAGAAAAGGAGGAGGCGGAGGAGAGGAAAGCAGAACGAGCACGATAAATGAGGACGAACGGATATAGCAATGGAGCGATACGGAAGCGAAGAGAAGTGGTCGACGGACACAGGGCGGAGGATGCAAGACCAGACCACGTGTGGCACACCGGACCCCGAGTTGTGTTAGCTCCCGGCAGGAAGGCCTGACGGTACCAAGAGTGCTTCTTCTTCTCTAGGAGACCATGCGCAGACGACTCCCGCTCGCAGCTTGCTGGCCCCATCAGACGAAGCCCCAGGATTACAACACCAGCCGCTGGTGGTCGCTTCTGAATGCTGGTTTGGGAATTATCTTGGCGCCTGTGGCGCTTCGACGTAAACTCAGATCGAGACTGACCCACAGGCTGAACTATGTTCTGATCCAACCCAAACAATCCACCCCAAAGCGGGGCAGTCTGTTGATCAACAGCCCGATCGGCCATCGCGATCCTGATCGTTCGACGGAATAGTTGTCTGATCGAGCCCCGACTAGCAGACCAGGGTGTCTAAGCTCTGGAATCCTCCATCACCATGACGTGTTTGCTCTCGACCTGATGGTGGTGCTCTCGGGCCTTTACGCTGACCTCCTGGGCCCCGAGCGGGACGCAGGCGCAGGTCGGGCAGAAGCAACGTGGTGGATAGAGAACGGCTGGGACAGAGGAAGGATAACGGAAAGGGGAGGCATAAAGGAAGGAAGAGAGGTAGGGAGGGCAGGCGGGAAGGATGTGGGAAGGGAACAAGGGAACGGATGACGGGACAGAAGAGGGGGAGAGAAGGGAGAGACAGGGAAGA